GGCGTGACAGAGTAGTCGCCGGTGTCAGCGTCGCCATCCGACGTTCTTTTTATCTCAAAGCCGTATCCCTTTTGCGCCTCTTCTGTATTCCTCAATTTCCAATGAGTCGGAATACGACATGAAACGCTAAACTGCCACAAAGGGGGTAAGCCGCTCTCGCCGGTCGAACCCTTTGCCCGATCTGCTCTCTTCTCGCAGCGATGATCCAGGTGGAACCTCGCCCCCGTTCCCCACTCTCCTCCCTATCAGTTCCCCACCCTTTCTCCCGTTCGATTCTTTGTCACACCGCATTAGATTCGCTTCTGTTCCTGTCATTACTCGGAACGAATTCGCGAAACCATTACCGGTCCTCGTCCTCGTCCTCGGCGTCTGTCGATTTTTCCTCGAGCGCCGCTGGTGAATCATCGGCCAAGTCGTTGTCCCAGAGACCGGGAGAAGATCGAAAGAGAAATCTGGATTCGAGTCGAACCAAAAAAACCTCGAAATTCGAGTGCTGGCGTAAACGTACGCGCAGTTTTTTTTACTTATGTTTAAACTAGACTTGTATACACATACAAACCGACGCGTGACGATGTTCAACTCTGTCCAACACATGTCGTTCGTTTATTACCTCCAACGTGGTACCCGACTTTTATCGTAAACGTACGATACGCGTTGGACGCAGCGCTCGCACGCTGCGCGCGTATTTCCGGGGAGAAGAAGAATCACCTACTTGCCTCCCTTGTGCACCTCCACCCTAATAAGTCCGTCAATGTTTGCCCAGCGCGACAGTGACTTTGTTCTGGCGCAACGATCACGCCGTGAGTTTCCGGTTGCGGGATTCAGTGAATCAGAATGGTCGGGCAAAGGATTCGTAGGCAAGCGAAGCCAGAGGAAGGGTGGTAATCGACACGTTTCCAACGGAGTGGCGTCGCCGAGGAGCAGAAGGACGCGCCGGCTGCGTGGACGGTCAGACGGAGACACAAGGGAGGACAACGTTGTTGCACGCATCCCCTCCTCCCTCCCCCTCCCGTACATCGGTTGCCTCGAGAGCAGTTACAATGCCGGAGAGGGTTCCGGCGATCGGTGTGTGTAAACGTTCACTTCAAAGCAAATCAGCTATCGTTACGCACGGGAGCACCGACGTCATCGATGTCCATACCCGTTGCCCGTTGTTGTTGTTGTTGTTGTTGTTGTTGTTGTTGTTGTTGTTGCTGTTGTTGTTGTTGTTATCGTTTTCCTCCTTGTCCACCTCCTCCTCGTCGTTGCGATCGTGATCGTCGCCGACGGTAGTCGTGGTTGCAAGCTCTTTTGAGAATTAGCTCTTGGAAGCTCGTTCGAAGATGACACGGCGGCGAGTTCCTTTGGCGTCGCGGCAGATACTTCGGATACTGGGTATGTCAGTCACGGACTATTGATCCGGGGGATGAATCTAATACGAGTAATTATAGGATACCGGGCACTGCGTCAGCAATCTTTGAGGGGATCGTCAACTGTGAACGGTGCAGCTAATGAACGGTTACCATTCCAGCGAGCCGTTCGATTTAGGCTTGTTTCAGCTTCAACTTTGACATATACATAAGTCGCGTCGTCGCACGAGCTTTCAAATATTTCGTCGCACGCCGTGGTGAATACGCGAGTGAATGTAGAGCTGCGAAAACTCGGGTATAGCGTGACGGTGGTGGTCGAACTGGGGTTGAAACGCGGCAAAGTCCCTTGGGTCCCAATTACACCGACACCCGATCCCGGCATTACGCAACGGCTAATTCAAGGGGCGAGGAGCATCGCGCGTATAAATCTCGGCTGGTTGATTGTACAGTTTCAATTCCGTTTGTCGTCACCGCGTCGTCGTTTCGATGCGGGGTGTATCGCGTCGCGGGGAAGCTGCGAAACGATTATTCTCTTTCACCCGCTGGCAGTCTCGCTTCCCCGTCGATTACCTTTTCCTCCTTTTTTCGCTGTTTTTCTTTTCTTTCTCTCGCGCTCTCTCTCTTTTTGGTTTCCCCGGGAGCGAACGGCGTGAAAGATTCGCGCGAGTTGAAGGAAACCGAGGGAACGGGAGGGAAGAGGAGGAACGAAGGCCGCGCCGAAAGGGTTGTTTCTCTCCGGCGACAAAAGGTTCGGTTAATTACGAGAAGGCCGCAAGTTCCTGGCTAAAGCTATGGCAAAGGCAGCTATCGGCTCCCAAGGCGATTCGCGGGTTTACGGAGGTTTACGCGCACTTTACGCGATGGCTTTTTGCTCTGGAGGAGCGCGCCGTTTGGTCGGTTGACGCGAGAAAGCCAGAATTTCCGGCCGCGGATCCAATCCAGAGCAGCTCTTGTTCCGCGTTCTATTTGTTATCCTAGCCTCCGCCGACCAATCGCGGCCTCTGCCTCCATTTTACACTCCTATTCGCCCTCGATGACGGCATAACGTCGTCGAAAAACCGCGAGCGCGATTAACGACACTTGAAGAACCCGGTTCACGTAAATTCTGGACACGACGTGGGAAACGTTATTCGCGTTCCTTCTGCGAGAGGAAAAAAATCTCGCTTTCCCCGCTCCAGACACAGCGCGAGCAAACAAACGTCGCTTTTTCAGTCTTTTCCAAATAAAGCGTACGTGTCGAGGAGATCAGAAACGAGGACTCGCCGAGGGATTCTCTGTCGTTGGTACGAAATGACGCGCAGAAGACGGGCAAGATCGCTGGGAGTATCGGCCCGTGCAAAGGTCATTTCATTGTTCAGCAACAACGTGTCCCATTTACGAGTTCCCCCGATCCGCGCGGGGAAGAACAACGACGAGGAAGCGTCGACTTCTCGCAACCCCTGCTAAGATAATACAGCCTGTCGGTCCGCGGGGGGTCGCAGGGATTTCAACCTTTACCAAAATGCCAAGCGGGGCTTTAAACGGGCTAATAACACCGCCGCCTCCTTCCCCCCCCCCCCCCCCGTCTACCCCACCGATTCCCTCCTTATTGCGCAAATTGCCCTCGCAGACACGAATACTGCGACCCGCCATAAAATTGATAAAGACATCGGGCGTGTTCCACCGACTTCCGTGTTAACGTCGCGAACCAGCCAATTTGCGGCCGTCGTGGAACAACGACGTGTGTGCACACCCTTCCCCGCGAAGAAACAAGAGAATGTCAATGTTTCTCTTTCGTTCCCGCTGGTCGTTACGATACTGGGTTCGGTTTGCACGGTTATAGCTGGCTCGTAGGATAATAGGCCGGCTGTGGTGTATAGGAAGAAAAGCAGCTCGCGTTGCTTTTCATTTGCGATCTGGTCATTAGCCGAATGAGAGGCGAGTGGGTCTTCTTAGCGAACGGCTGCGTCAATATTCTCTCGGATGATCGATCATCGGGAGGCCGGAACCACGGGAGGCCTCGCGTAAATTAAGTATCGTCTTACGCTGGTCGCCGCCTTAAAGAATCCTCGAAAATACGAGGCGAGGCGAGGCGAGCGAGGAATTCGTCGATGTAGCAGCATCGATCATCGCTTCCATCGGGAGACGGCGGAGAGGGACGAAAGCAAAAGTTTCGCGCGGAAAGATAAAGGTTCCTATAGTCGTTCGGGGGACGGTAGACTATTTCCTATATTTGCGATATCATAGAACTCGCTTGACATTATGGGTGGCGTCGGGGGTGGGCCGAGGGATAGATGGGCTATTCCGTGAGACCGGCTGTCATATTCATGTATTGACACTGAGCTGGTTGACTAATGGACTGCTGTTGTCACAGGCTCGTGTTACCGCGAGGGCCCGGCCCCTGCAACTCGTTTTTCCTGCGAATCGACCGAAACGCGTCCACGGGTTATACCAGGACGACGACGTCGACGTCGATGGCTCGCCTCTGCTGCCAGCCAAACCGACGTACCAAAAGAAACGAAAGAGAAAAAAATAAAATATCGGCTCGATCGAGCGAATGGACGATCGACGCGGGGCGAAAACGTGCATACCGCCTCCCTTTCTCTCTCTTTCTCTCTTTCTCTCTTTCTGCCTACGGAGAGGCACTTTTTTTTTGATACGGAGCGCAATATAGCGATCGTGCGCGCGTCCGCCCCGAAGCACGCGGATATTCCTGTCGGTCTTCTCCACTTTTACATATTTATCGCGTCTCGCATTGTGCTCGCGTCAGCCGGGACGCCGACATCTTTTGCCACGAAAATCCGCGATATTGAATTTGCCAGCCACCCCTCTGCCGTTTACGTTCCGCCATCTCCCTCGTTCCTTCGTCGACCAACGAATCGATTCGTTCGTATCAAAAACGCTTCCAGCTTGGACTCGCGTACCAGTGTCTTATCGGTCCAACGAACGGCCACGATCGAGATCTCGAACAGGAGGACAATGCGACACAATGGAGAGATCTTTTTTTTTTTTTTTCGACGCGAGTCGAAAGAGAAAAGAAGCAGAGAGAAAGAAGACACGGAGCTGACAAAGGTGGAGAGTGGGTGTCGATGCAGGGATCGAGTAGGTAGGTGGTCAAAGAGAAGCAGAGCTGGTAAACGCGAGACGACTATTCTATTACCGACTGACATTCGATACAAACTTGGCCGAGCGATCACGGCTTTGGCCGTTTCCTTCCTTCCTTCCTTCCTTCCTTCCTACCCTCTGTTTCTATCCTTCGTTCCATTAAAGTCGCGAAACAGTCGGGACGATAGCTGGCCCGAAGGAGGAGAAGCCTGGCCAAGTCGTGAGTGTGCACGAGGCTAGAGCCGAGGGTCCTTCGAGACTGGAATAATAGGATACGCCGAGACCCACGAGCGCGGCCGAGACTTTATAGCGGCGTGTCTCTTTCTGGCTGCTTTGATTTATCGCGGAGTTAAATGCCTCGACGTGGGAACGCCCTTTGAAACCTCTCCGCGTCGCGTCGATGATCGCACGATCGTACATGGGCGTATTGTCCTCGAAAAAGCTCGTTCCGCTGTCGCTGGATTCGTAAAGAGTATCCGTCGTTCGACAGGTCGATGACAGGCATCCATAAACGCGAATTTTCCGTGCGGTATACCAAAGGAAGAAGTTAGAGAATTGGATACTCACCTCGAACCTTCTGCTCGTCTTGCAGTTGTCGCTCGAGGCTGTCTTTCACCTCCCTCTCTCGGAGAACGTCCATCTTCAGTTCGGCTGTAACCAGAAGTATTCGATCTTTGAAATCGACGAATGGATCTTGTATGTTTAATTATTACGAAACACCGGGCTCCACCGTCTTTTCCCAAAAGACAGCGGGATCCCAGACGGGAGAACATTGCACGGTCTGGCGGGTCCGTGATTAAATCCAACGGACGGCGATCGGACCAGAGCTCGCGTAGTTACCTCTAATAGAATTACACCGAGATGCACGACGATCATCCCGACCGCGTTCCTCTCAGCTTGTCTCCAAGAACGCCTGCCCCTTTCCCCGTCTTTGCGAACTCCCCCCGTTACCCTTGGGACTCGCCACGCTAAATTAGCCATTTCGAATCTCGGCAAGAGGGTGGTAGAGATCCTCTTCGTACGAAAATTCGCGTTATCAACCTCGTCTTCACGAGGATTCACGACTCGGTTTACGAAACGGTCGAAGAAACGCGCTGCTTGCTTGAAGCGTTGGATTATCGACGTCCCCGAAAGCTAGCGGATCGAGCTGAAGACCCCTGGGCTATCGATGAAAAAGAAGAAAAAAAAAAAAAAAAAAAAAAAAAAAAAAAAGAGTCGGCTTTTCAGCCGGCGAAACGTTCCCAGGGTCTAAATCAAGCGGGCTAATTCGGTTTAAGGGAAGAAAAGAAAGCAGGGGAGGGGAGAAAAACGAGCTACCCTCTTTCTGGTCGTCTGCTTCTCGAATTACATTGGTAGCCAATGAGCCGCGCAGCTCGTAACGCGTCTCGCGGCTCATCGACCGATAAGCTGCTCGTTAGATCGCTACCAATTTGCGGACATTTCGCAGCAATCGTTTCTCTCGCGATTCCTACGGCCGAACGAATAAAATCGGCTCGATTCGGCAACGAATCGGTGAAACGATGCTAATCTATGTTCCATCCCTTGTGAAATATACAGGGGATTTCGTAACTTGTGGGGCCCACTTCGGGAGCTGATTGTACGCTTAAAAATAATGAAAAAAAAGTAATATAAATATATGTCCTATCAGTATGAGATATAATGAATTTTCTGTTTTAATTACATTTACAAAAATGCTCGAAATGACCAGCTTGCATTTGAAGACAAGCCTGCACGCGTCTTGTCATTCATCTGGTTACTCTCTCTATCATTCCTGGTGTTTCTTGAATTTGTCGGAAGTCTCGCTCCATTCTATTTCGTAGTATTTCAGTATTTTCAATCGATGTTGCGTGTACAATAGATTTTAAATGTCTCCGCAAATGAAAATCTAATGGATTCAAATACGGAGAACGAGCAGGCCATGCAATAGGACCTTCACGACCAATCCATTTATTTGCAAAGTGTTGAATTAAAAATTGCCTAGCCACTCGGCTGAAACGCGGCGGAACTTCATCATGCATAAACCGCATACGAAGTCGAATATCGACTGGACCTTCCTCTAATATTTCGTGTAAACGCGTGCTCAAAAAATCAACGTACTTTGTGCCTGTTAGTTTCTCATCAAGAAAAAAAAGATCCAATTAAAATTTTAAAATTTTATCAATTATTCCTGCCGAACTAAACTGGTGTTGATGTCTTGAATGCACAGTAACATGGGAGTTTTCTTCATCCCAATTACAATTATTATGAAAATTGAATATACCATCCCTGGTAAAACTAGTTTATTAGAGTTTACTCTGTTTATAAAATTCATTCATATCTCATAAACAAAGACAGATAGGACATATATTTATATGACTTTTCTTCATTATTTTTAGGCGTACAATCAGCTCCCGAAGTGGGTTCCACAACTTACGAAACACCCTGTATATCCCTGTTCCGCGCCGACTATTCCGACTTCAATATCGTTATAATTCCTCCTCCACTTTGAATCGGTACAGACACAGAGTGTCAGGATATAACTGTCGATTTATACGCGTGCATGTCAAGTGTGCCAAAGTGTGAGAGTTGTATATGTACGTTGGTACATTCAAGGACTTACTTTGTATATATATTATACGGTACGTACAACGTACGAAGAAAGTTCTAGAAAGAATAAACCTAGTGAACTAGTTTAAACAAGTGTCTATAAAATCAGAAATTTAATCGAGATTAAAAGTAACACCCTGGGAACTAATATTCCACCGCAACGAATTAACAAATTCCAACACAGAGATGAAAAAAAAAAAGAAAAAAAAGAAAAAGATATCGCGTTGGGATGTAAAGTACAGTTGGTAGAATTTCACTGGAGACAAAAGACAAAGTCGACAAGAGCGTGGAAAATGGCGGATTCGCGGCGGTGAGGGGGGCGGGTGGGAGGCGATGAGCCGCGTGGAGAATCAAGCTGGTAGATTAGGCAGGGGCGCGCGTCTCAGCAGTCTGCCAGCAATTTGAGAGCGTTTGCGAGGTCCATTAACGGCGGTAACTCTTCACGACCGGCCGCCACGAAGATTCAATTTGAATGCTAACCAGAATAGGAAGTTCGCGCCGGAGCCCCGGCCGCTACGTGTATACGTTACGCGGCAGCCCCTTCCTGCCGTTTCTCCCGCCTGTCCACCACCCCACTTCCCACCCTGTTATTGCCAATTTCGGCGCGTTTCTGCAGCCCACTTTGCGATCGTTTAGATTATCATCTCTCCCGGTTTCTCTTTCTCTCGTCTCGATGTTAGGGTCTCGTTCGACTCGCTCCCCTTCCTCCCCCACCTCCACCCCCCTTCCACTCCTAAACCTCTATACTTCTCTTCTCTGCCTCGTCTACCTTGCCCTCGGTACCTAACGTTTCCGGGGATAATTGAACTTTATTAGAGATCGTCGTCGACGCGTACGTCAACTCCGCCGCTCATTCCCCGGGTCGATTCGAATCGACTCGGTTTAACCATCACCCTGTCTACTCTCTCGTTGTCTTTTTCCATCATCCCCCTGTTAAATACAACCTTTCGAGTCTGTGTACGTATACACGCATCTTCCGAGGAATCAAGGGATCAAGTCGCAAGCAGTGAAAACCAATTCTTCGTAGGCGGTTGGTACGACGGGGGGGCAAAGGAAGTTATTGAAATTCGACCACGAACCCGCGGCCATTAAAATTTCAGGGCCAAACGTTTCGGCCACGACTGCCTCGTAAGAAAATTCGCCCCTCGAAAGAGGGGCTGTATCTCTCGGTCGTCGTTCCCCTGTCAATTATGCAGAGATAAATATAAATAATGTTTATTTGGTAAAAGTAATAATAATAGAGCAACAAATAATTAAATCAGACAAGTTACATTCAAACAACACGGATTAACAACTCAAATAAACTCTTTTAACAACACAATTGACACTTTTAATAGCTCTCTCTCTCTCTCTCTCTCTCTCTCTCTCTCAACGTTGTCTCACGACTCGCTCGACTTGGTTCTTTTCAAAAAGAAAAGCGCACCACGCCTACGCTTATACTTCAAGCGCCACATTCATATTTTATCATATTTCTATGATCAACAAACAGGCTATATGTTATATAACTACAGATTAATTATAATAACCGATACTACGTGTCCCATTGAAATCGCAGATTTGCCCGACAACAGTTTTTATCGACAACGACATTAGACAATTGGATATCGCCCACAGACGTTGCCTCAGTTTGCGTTCGGCTATGGTTTCTATTGCTACTAGTATATCGAATAAAGTTATAATCATTCTTATTGTTAGTGAAAATTGTTAATTATGCAAAAATGTCTCGACCATATCCAGAAAATGATGATTCTGTTATTGCCGAATATATGTTATCAACTGAAACAGGAAATACAACTAAACCTAATCTAACCTTGCGTTATCATTAGAAAAACAGTGATGAACAAATATCATGATAATGTCATCGGCCAGTATCATTGTCGGCTAAAACTGTTGTCGATAGAAATTCGGGCAAATCTAGAGTCGATGAAATATTGTCGGTGAATTCGATGATTTTAACGTGACCCGATACTACAGTTACATGTTTCTTAATCGCGAGTTATTCTGTAAACCGTGAATTACGCGTGGTTTAATTCGTTAGCCACCCGGTAACGAATTTACCAGATGGCGGCCTCGTTTCCTCGTTGTTCGAAAAATCGGCAAAGGGGAATCGAGGATTACTCTCAAGGAGTAATCGTTGTAAATTGTTTCAGATTCGAGCGGCAAGCCGCGGATCGCGACTCGTTGAGATGCGGATGGAATCGTCGGAGGATTATCGCCCCGCGGAATCGGAGCCTAGGCGAAGGACCATCGGCGATAATAATATTCACGGTAGCCCGAGCCACTCTGGCCCGGCAACAATAACGGTGCAACGGAACGTGCATGCCACTGTTACCGGAGCGATTCATGGTTATTGATTAGTATATGGTTGGCGGGAAGACGGGAGGCGGCGGTGGCGGTGGCGGTGGCGGTGTAGCGTTCACATCCCCGGAGGGCTTGTACGACGACGTGTACGCGTGGTATAGCTTCTGCGCGGCGCTAAGATATTCGCAGGGCCTCGGGCCACCCTCAGAAACAACAATGTCAACTTAGCCGTGCCGCCGTGCCCTGCAATCGTTTGAATAGTATAATGTAGCTTTCGTGTTACGCTCCGCCGTCCTCCGACACGCGTCCATCGATATATCGCCGCGTTCGACCTACGCCTACGCCCACGCAACGTTCCTCGTCGTCTCGTGGATTCGCCTAATCGCCACTCTTCTGCGCGTTCTTCGCCTTCCACGAGGCAAGCGACATCGGAGTGGCGTTTGCCAGTTTAACTCGGTAATCAGAGCTGGGCGAAATACTATCTTAAATGGCAAGTAGTGAATAGATATTTTATTTTACATCGTGCATGTGTTTTTGAAAATAAAATATTTCATTTGTTGTAACAAATTTCCAGAATAATATTTCAAATAGTATTTTATATAGAGAAACGCTGAAATTATTTGTACCATTTTTTTTCCTTTATGGAAGCACACAGTGACGATATTGGGGACAATGGTGGGCAACATTGCAGAGTTAGAACTACTGCAATATTTAGGCGATAAGGATTTGCAAATTCAAAATATAAATACATGAAACAATTATTT